ATGATGCCCAGCCTTTGGCAAGATGCCATCTGGCATGTATGCCTGCATTTCCTTTAGGGGTCTCGTCCTATCATCTTTCTTTGTATTGTACAAGTGGCCCCTCCTGTCCTTCCAACCGTCCCCTAACTTTTTCAGGGCATATGTCTTCATGTTATCCCCGATGACAAATTTTTTCTGCAATTATAAAATTATGATTTAATTAGTAAGAAATCAAATTCATAATGTAAGTCATAATTATTTTAAGGAAAATATTTAATCCTAAATTTCAAATACTAATTAATTACCTTCAGCAGCTCCCAGGTGTCGCTCTTGTTCTTTTGTGACATCCTCTTCCAGGTGGGCTCGTAGATGGGAAATATTGTATATTGTCCACCTAGATAAGCTAGATATCAGTTGAACAGATGTCCTCCCAACTCAATTGGTTGCCCATGCTCATTCAGAGGGACTGTGACATGTGCATCCTGAATGTAATGCATGTCCTTCACATTTAGTCTCCTCGTGGACCTATTGCCCATTGGGTCTGCACAATTAAATTGATAATGACATAATATCAATAATATTTAATTATTAATATTAAATAACTTATTTTACTTACCCACAACTGCCACCTCCGAACTGCTCAACCGTCTACTAGGTCAACGCGGCAGCTGCTGGTGGTGGTCCTCCTCCTCCTCCTTCAGGTCCCGTACCTCTCCCTCCACAGGACCCTTGAATCCACCCTCATCCCCCCAGGTTGAGATCGAAGTGCTCATTGATCTCATAATCTTCCATGCTGATCATGGGCCCCTCATCCTCCTCTGTCGACTCCTTGGATGACCCAAGCCTCTCAGGATACCGAGGGGTCTCGTAGATTCAATGGGATCTTTACCGTATCAACAAGCCATGCTATTTAAACAATAAATAATTAATTAAACAATACAAAATACAAAATTTATTAAATATGACTTTAATAAATTCTAAACATTTTACAATTACATTTGAAACCATAAATAAAAATTGAAAAATTTCTACCAACTCCAAGTTTCTGAAATTAAATAAAATACTACAAAATATAATTAAAATAATATCACTCCTAATATCTAATAAAATTAATTACTAAATAAACGAATTTTATCATTAAACAATTACAAATAACATGTAAACTAAAAAAATTGAAGGCAATAAAATATATAATCATTACAATTAATTAATTCAACAATTTAAATCACATATAACTAATTAAACAAAATAAAAAACTGTTTAGATATGGATTTAATAAATTCTAAACATTTTATAATTATCTTCCAATTCATAATTAACAATTAAAAAAGCCAATAAATTCAACTTCTTTGAATTAAATAAAATACAAATAATTGTAATTAAATTAATATCACTCCTAATGTCATATAAGTTGATTACTAAATAAATATATTTTATTATTAAATCATTATAACTAACATGCAAACTACAAAAATTTAAAACAATACGAGATATAATTATGAAATCAAACAATATCAATGTCAATTAAATAACTAAACTAAAATAAAATAAATATTAAATGAATACAATACAAATTAAATATTTAAATACTGTAACTATAAAATAAATTAACTAATAAATGAATATATATTTATACCTGGATAGCTGGAAATGGACCTGAAACTACAGTGGATTTGAGGAAAAATTGTGACAGAAACCGTACACACACGCAGTGAAAGTGAAAGAAGGAGGGGGAGAGGGTTTATATAGACACCGAACATTTATAGTGATTTTAAAAATAACTGCTACAAATGTGATATTAGTGGCAGTTTACCTTACAACCGTTACAAAGTCTATGACATGTGTCGTACCTCTATCAAATAACTAAACACTTTGTTGCAGTTGTCTATGTAACCACTACAAATTTGCAATACTTTGTAGCGGTTAAACTAGAACTGCTACAAATTTTAACCATTTGTAGCGGTTTTATATGAAACCGCTACAAAAATCAAACGTTTCATTTTCTGCCTTTAGCACAACCACTACAAAATAACCGCTACAAATAGTTTGTTGTAGTTATACTATCATAACCTCCACTACATAACTGTTACAAATTTAGTGCCAATCTCCTGCCAAATGATGGAAGGGTGAGCCATTTTTGTAGCGGTTATTTGCACGTATAACCGCTATAATGTGTGACACAGTGAAATTTGGGTCAACCAATGCAGATTTATAGCGGTTTTACGTTAAAACCACTACAAGTCTTTGATTTCTAGTGGTTTAATGTATCCGCTACAAAATAATCACTACAATTTGCTCTCTTTTTTTGTAGTAAAGTGATCAGATAACCAACTGTATATACACCTTACTTCTCAAGCTTATCATTTGGATGTCAATCTAAAGAAATTCATTGACTAAGGATATCTCATACCAGAATTCAAGGATGAGGAGAAAGAGATTTGTGAAGTTAAATAGAATATTCAGAGCATTGAGGCAGATATGGACAAGGGACATTCTCAAACTATATATGTATCCTATCCCTCTTACCCGACCAGTTATCATCCTGTTTCATGTTCATCTTCACCTACATATTATCCTAAGTCCTTATCTAATTATAGTCAAATCTTCAAGATGAGCTATTCTATATTCAGACAAGTGAGGCAGTCAAAACTATAACCTAAGCCTCCTCAACTGAAACCTACACAACCTTTTCATCTAAGACCAAGACCTCTTTTTAATCCTGACATATCAAAAGCCTGTCCCTCTTATACCAAATCTCTAGCAAAAACCTCTTAACCTTCTACTAGTCTTAAAATAACCACACCACCATTCTTCCTACCTAAACAGTCCACCCCAAAGTGAAGAAAATGAGAAAACCAAAGCTCCCATTGCCTCTCTACAAAATAAATTTTAGGCGTTGCCTATTAAAAACTATGAGTCTAATTTGGATCCTGAATTCTTTGAGAATTTAAAAAGCTCTGACTCTAATGGAGCTCTTGCTGATATTTCCAAAGTTGGTATGGTCCCACTTTCTCCTATAGAGCCTATTGTTCAAGATACACCAGATGAATGTCCAGAAGATGCAACTTTTTCCAATCGTCTAGAACAACTGGAGGACACCTTAAGCCTACTAAAGTCCTTGGTTTATGTTTGATAATCTCCCTCCTCATAAATGGAGAGAAAGACTTCACAAATTTGGCGCTTGGCTTGATCTATAGATGTGTAGGCCTAGTGTTACTGTTCAAGAAGTTATTTCAGAATTTTGTCTCAGATTCACTAGTAATCTACATGAATGGTTTCAAATCATAGATGATTGTCATAAAGCTGCTGTAGCTAATTTTACTAGAGTTGGGCAAATTCTTGGTTTGATTTATAAATAATTTATTGATGATTTCAATATCATCAATAGAAGGAATCAATAAGAATATTTTGAGATGAAATGTCATTCTCTTGATAGAAGAGATTTGCAAAAGTATTTTCAACAAATGTCTGAGAAATACTATATGTTGGAGGAGGGACTTCAAGATGTTAATATTAGACATGTTTTTATTGCCTCTCTTCTTGATGAATTACCGCTAGAGCTTCATCCAGCTATTAATGCCTTGCGTATCTCTCAGAGAAATATATCAACTTGCTTTGTCAACTGTCCACTCTAGATAAACCCTGTGAACAAAGAAAATTCCTCAAAGAAATGATGAAAGGCCAAGTCAAATTACAATCTGCAAGTAGGAAGCCTTATCTCAAGATTAAGTGTAAAGGTCAAAAAGAATGCTCTTGTTCTACAAAAAAAGAAATCCCATTTTAGAAAATACAAAACATCAAAGGATTTTTATTTTCAAAGAAGAAAAAGGACACGGCTTTTTAGATTTTTTGAAAGACGATCTCCTCATTCCAAAAAGTCTGATAAATGTTATCTTTATGGGAAGAAAGGGCATTTTGCAAAAGCCTGTCCAAACAAGTCAAAGAAGGAAATGAAACTGTTACAAAATCTGGAAACCATTCTGATGATTCAAGATAATTAAAATATAGAATTTATTCTTGAGGAACAATCTGAACGAGATACTGCTGTTTTTTTTTTTTTTGGGGCCAAAATCCTAGCAAGATTGATAGCCTTAATCCCACCTGTGGACAAACTTAACTAAAGTTTAGATTTTTTTTTTTTTGGGTTAACGTGCGAAAGTATTTTTCCAAACTCAGCCCAATGTTCTAAAGTTATTTGTGATGTAATTTGGCTCCTTGAAGTATTTAAAATTGTGCACCTTCATCTAATGTTAACAGAAGTATTTTCTTTATCTATGAAATTGATGACTCAGCTCATATTGGACTAAAAAAAAATCCTAGCTGCCAGACCACATAAGCAAATGAAAAGAAAAAAGCATTAGAGTCTCTGATTTGGTGGTGCAACCAAGGATGAGGAGGGTGGCTGAGGGAGGAAGGCGCGAAGGTGAATTTCTCTCTGGCGCCAGTTTTGTCAATCATTAATACTACTCAACCGGTTCTAAATATATAACTTATTTTATAGTATAATTACAAAATGGGAACTGGAGGAGTAATATCGATTATTTTCCCTCTTTCTGGCTCCTTCTTGGTCGAATATTAGACAAAGTCATATAATAATATAATAGTAATCACTATGATAACAATAATAATTAAAACAACTAAAGGAAATAACAAAAAAAAAAAGAAGTAAATTAAGTGACAAGTTTTAGGTGGGATTCATTTTATTGATGATTGAAGCAAAAACTCTAACATGCTAAGACCAATAAATATAAATATATACACACTGTGATCAAACACAGCAAGTTTGGACAATACATTATATGGTAATCAAACATATATATCATAATTTACACTAATCCGCATACAATAATAAACTATCTTATTGTTGTTTTTTCTTTATTGTTGCGACAAACAACACCAAATCATAATTAATAGTATTCAAAAAGTTTGAATCATTTTTAAAACATGAGATTCAATCGTCACTTGGCGGGTAAGGTTGTTGATATACTTGATACCCTAGCATGGATTTCTCTTAGTGGTTCTCACTCAACTGTCTTCAACAGTGTCTTTCTCAGCTTTTTCACAAGTTCCTTCACTGGAATGCTGCGTTCCTCATCGACCTATAACAACAAATTATTCATCATATGAAATTGCTGGGGGGAAAAATTTATCATACATGTTCTTCATTAAACTAACGATTTTATAGAGAATTTATGAATTGTGGCTGCTTGTGAAATAACTAATAATTATACTACATGTTCTTGAAATTGTACAGCTTTTCTTGTTGGAAAAAACTCATCCTATTCTCTGATTTATAAGTCACTTTTAATGTGTCATATTAGAATCATGAAAAATCTTAAACCTCGTTTGCCGTGTTTTAAAATTTAACTTTTTAACTTTATTCTTATTTACGATGTACAATTTCTCAAAAAAAAATAATTTATATAATAATAAATGAAGAGTAAAACTATATATTTATGTTAAAAATTTAACGGTGAGACTTACAAATAAGACCAAAAAAACCTTCCTCTCTTTGCTTGATAAACTGGACTAGAGGAGTATATAGAAAGAGGGTCTTAAAAACTAAAGCTATATATGTGTGTGTATACAATATCAACGTATTGGCTAAACATACACACACACACACACCTGTTTGTTGTAAAGATATAGCCAAGTCTCGTCTCAATACTCGAAATCAGAATAATATTTTACTTGGATTTGTAAATTCAAGGAACATAAATTAATTAATGATAGTTTTGAGAAATACTAGCCGTGGAACCTTGAAAAACACGAGGTACAACTTTAGTTCTTAAAAAGGAATTTAATATTTTATTAATGCTTCTTTCTCTGATATCATTAGATTATAAGAATTTTTATCGTCATTTCCCCCTTCTCCATGCTATATATGGTTCTTGCTTGAGTGTTTGAGAATATTTTTATCAGATGGGGGAAAACAAACATAATAATCAGATCGAGTTTTCTCCTATAATTGATTCTGCTCAACCAAGCACATAACAGAAACAGAAACTAAATGTGTGTGTGTGTGTGTGTGTGTGTGTGTGTGTGTGTGGATGGATGGATGGATGTGTACCTCAGCAATAATGACCATATCAAGAGTGGAATTTCCAAACGGCAACACACTGTGACTGATTATGGAGAAATGAAGATTGTGGAGCTGAGCCAACAAGTTAAGGGTGACGCCTTTTTTATTCTCACAGTGGATTCTGATGAGGACTTGTCTGTGTAAAACTCTTGCTTCAACTTCAGGAAGGGTTTCACAAATTCTGAAGTAATTATCGGAGCTCATTTCACAGGAGGTTGTCTCTTGAATGTCTTCAGCATTATTATTATAATTATTATAGAGCTGGCTCGACGACGACGACGACGTCTTCTTATTCTTCATCATGTACCTTGACACTGAGGACTCCAAGCTACTCATCTTCTTGTTCTGTTCTTCTAACTCTTTCACTCTCTCTTGAAGTTGCTTCACGTGAATTATGGCTTCGCTTAGTATTGAAGCCTTGTCAATCTATTAGTTGATGAGCATTTCATCCAAATCATTCAATCAGCTCAACATTTAGATTAAACAACACAACAAGTTCATATATGAAAAGCTCTGTGCATTTGTGCATTTGTCTGGCTCTGGCTACTAGTTTACAAAATTTAAGAAGTCAACTAAAATCGATTAAAGACAATAAATATGTAAGAAATATTTTTTCCCATAATTTTTCTCAAATATATGCATATTTATAGAAAGAGTTGGGGGGGAGGGGGAAGGAGTAGAAAAATGATGAGGGTAAGAATAAAAAAACGTGCATTAAAATTTTAGGCATCTCCAAAATGTAACTTATAAAAAGGAAGGAGGGAGGAGTATATGAAACAATTTGTGGATTTGGCTACTAGTTCTAACAAAATCCATTTCCCTGAAAAGCAATTTTTGTTTCCATTTGCAAAATGTAGGTTTTGGGTTGATATTTCCTTTTTTAAAAGCTATTTTAGAATCAACTAAAATAACAAACATTCATCAAAACCGGGCTTGTACGTAAAAAGTCAGTCAATTTGCCAAAAACTCATGATATTATTTCTGGTTATGCATACCCACATCTTTTATACTTTTCCATTCAATTCCAGTCCTTCATCAGATTTTAGAAAATCACAAGAATCATAATATAATTTAATTGGTCCATCGAAGCATCAGTGATAATTACGAAAAGATGAAAAAGGATCCGAACCCTAATTTTGAATAAGAAGATGAAAGAGATGAACTGGTACTTTCCAAGTGTTGAAGAAGAATCAAGACATAATGAAATGAATGAATTCAACTGACCTTCTTCAAACCAGGGATTGTCGCTGAGAGTGCAATGAACTTCTCAGTGAGTTCTTGTCTCCTTTTTCTCTCAGCCATTATGTGATCCAGTGTCTCGGATGAACTTCTAGTCTTCTTTGTCCCTTGATTAGCTCTTGGCTGATCACTATTTTGGTTTTCTAGGGTTCGTTTTTGGGAAGCGCGCGTGCCTCCTCCCCCTCCTCTTCCTCCTCCACCACCTGTAATACTACTCTCTAATTTCTCTTGATTACGACTCTTGATCGCCGATTCGTGTTTCCGGTGACCACCGTCGGAGGTGGCCGGGAGAACTGTTGAGTTATCGAAGGACAGAATATAAGTTGACGGGGACGACGAGGCTACTGGTTTGTCCGAGAAGCTACCAAGTTTCGAGAGGGTTGAGCTCGAGTTGTTAGGCCGCTTCAGCTGGCCGGCCCCGGAATCGTTGTCCAACGATAAGCGGCTAACGATGGGGGTTGTAACAGCGGCGGCAGCGGCACCACCACCACCACCACCATCTGATGCGGCAGTGACGGCGGTGTTTTGAATAGAGGAAGAGTGAGTACTGTCACTCTCAGAAGAGAAAGAAGGTTGGTGAAAGATCTCATTAAGAAACACATCATCCTCATCATCAAAAGAGTTATAAGGCTTGTGCGATTGATTATTGAAGAAATCGGTCTCATCCATATCCTGAAATCAAAAAATTAAACCAAAAAAAAAGAAAAAAAACAGGGAGAAAGAGAGAGATCCATGAGAACTAATCAAACAAGCATAACCATAATGATTTTCATCATGAAACCCTAAAATAGAATAGCTAGGTTAGATATAAAAAATTATGATTACCAGATCGGAGAACCAAGTCTGCCATGGAACCTCCATTAAAGTTGGGAATTTGGATGAGAAGGAGATAAATAGAATTCTTCTGATAGTAATTAATATGGGCACGAACTTATGAACAAGAGAACTGAGTTATATAATAGTAATCCAACCCAAGGGTTTTGCAGGGGATAAACGACACATGCATCAGAGTGAAATGGACATAAAAGAAATGACTCGTTTAGCATGCAACTTGTTTTTCCACCGTTGATTGTTTTCACCTTAGGGTGGGACCCATGAACTAAAGGGCACAAGAAGCCTTTAATTTCTTTATTTTGTCCCGTCCAGATATATGAGATGGGACTGAATTTTGCAGATACGCATCTCGTGCACCAATTATTAAAAGAGTAGTTTTGTAAAGTACTGATGAAAGTGTAAAGTTCTCTTTCTTCAGGACTTGCATATTATTCCGACTTCCAAGATTTATGGCCAAGAATGTTCAGACAAGGAGAATTACAAAATGAAGGTTGTCTTAGCTTCATCAAAGTGGGAGAAATCCTTTTTTTTTTTTTTGGGTTGGGGCCGGGGGCCCCCGGGAAGAGTGCCCATGTTTACGTGTAAGGTAAATGATTCATATTACTTTTAATTGGGGGTGGGGTGAGGAGAAAAGCGATTTAAGTTGGCGTGAATGACAATGACTATTGTCCCTTTTATACAAATGATTGAAGGGTTTCATTTTCAATTGTCTCGCACGAGCGCGCGCGCGCACATACACAACTAGTTCATTAAAATTAGAAATAATATTTAAGTCATTAAATTTATCTCAAATCGAAAAAAATTTTCAACTTTATTCATATTAAATGAGGTTGCAAAAGGAAAAAAAAAAAAAAAGAGTTACTTTTAAACATTGATTACAAGGGCACCACCGAGTGCTTAGATCGATTGGTAAGAATGTTATTCTAGCTTAACCAGAAATCTCAAATTCAAACCCTAGATACGTTATAATTTGGTGAGAGTGAGATGCCTTGCATAGTAAACCCACATTCCCACTAATCTGGATCAGTTGGTTGCCGAAACCGCCGGACACCGAAGGTTATCACCCCAAAAAAAAAAAACAGTAATTACAAGGGCAAAATTGATAAATAAAGCATTAATTATTCTCTAATTAATATATATTTTGAACCAAGCCACTGCTCATCAGTCATCACAATAATGAGCACCATGGTGCTCATTTTTGGGGAGAGATACACACCATCTGGTCCAAAAACAATTCTAACGATTCAGATTAAAATTTCTAACTGATGATATTTAAATAATAAAATTATTTTTTATGAAAAATTAACAGTTTAAAGGTTATCTTTAATTTTGATCATGTACCCACTAAGATATTTTTTTTAAAAAAAATTAAAATAACAAAATAAATATGGACTATACATATCTAATCTAGCCTGTCTAGATTCGGTGCTTATCTCTTGGCTATGAGCACCAAAACTCAATTCAGCTATTCCTCTAAAAATGATTTATATTATTGCGGATCAAAGAGAATATGTCAAGGTCTTGTAACGTAACTAATACATAGCATCTTTTTTAAGGCTTCTTAATGAGAGTACGATAAGTACGTGAGTTATAACAAAATAAATAAAAAAAATCTAGGTGGGGAATATTGTCCTTAGTCCTTTCACCCCAAGAAATAATTGATCCGAATAATGTAAATATTTTTATTAAATATAAACAATATTTTCAACAAATTTAGATTATTGCTCGAATCGATTGCTTCGTCAAAATTTATATGGAATGTTAGTCACTTTTCCATCAAAAACAATCGAGAGAATGAAACTCACCATAGATTAACTCAATGAATTTTCATTACACATACATATATGTATGTGTAGTCGGTGAACTTACATAAAGTGCTGGGAATGATGCTTTTCTTTTTATTTATTTATTCTCATGAATAAAATATAATATAAACAAGAGATCTAGCTTGTGTTAATAATTACAAATAAATGTTCCATGTCTGGATGTTGCTGCCTTTACTTTTTTTAAATCAATTTTAGGGTATTTAGATGGAACCAAATTATAAGTTTAGAAGTAGTTTTATGATATATGAAGTAAATACGTAAAAAAATTCATCTCAATTTATAAAAAAAATATTTTTAAAAAACACTTATCACGACCCCAGGCCGAAGTGTGAGGAGAATATTCTGTGGCTGGTCCCCAAGAAAAGGTGGGAAAAGAAAAAAGGCAAATGCATGAACATGCGGTTAAAGATTTTGGCAATATTTTATAATATCCTTGTCTGTTCCTCGCTCCCTTGCTCTTCGCATTCTCCCGCATCTCTATTTTTTAATATTTGCCCAAAAACAGTAGGAACAAAGAGGATCTCGCAGATCAGCACGAGGGCTACTGAGAGTTCAGCGTAGGGCTTGCTCAGCCACTTTTGGGATATTTATATATAAATATATATATTATAGGGAAAATCCTAAAAAAATATCATTGAATTTCAAAATTCCAAATATGAATTACTACAAAAATGTGTTGTCATTTGTTTTTCAAATATAGTCATTTTTTTATGAGTGTAGTAACCAATATTGATTTGGAATTTTAAAATTCAACCATTATTTTTTTGGGATTTTCCCATTATTATATGCATGATTTAATTACAAAATAAAATTTATTTTGATATTCATTTGTACGATGTGAGATTATTTAAAACAAACTATATTAAATACTCTTATAATAATTTACTAGTTAAATACTACAATTAAAATTAGGTTGTTGAAGTACGTACAAGAAAAATAACATCAGAATGCTAGATGTATCATAAATGAAATTTAAATATTGAATACACTTGAGAAATAATATCAGAATATTGGATGCTGTTTTATCCTAATTTTCATTTGTACCTAAATTACCAACATGTTTTATCAAGAAAAATGTTTTGCTAAATGCTATATCCAATTTATTGGTTAAATATGAACACATTGACGCCAGACGGCACTTCTTCTGTTGTCAAGACTAGAAAAGTCTAAGATATGAGAAGCACCACTCATAGAAATATTCGTTATATATGTTAGAGTAATTATTGCCGCATATATATATATATATATATAATAATTTTGGATTAATTTCGATTTTATAATGGTTTTTTAAGACAAAACGATAAATCTAGTGTTGAGTTCTTCAGAAAATTATTCTCACAAAAAAAACCCTAGATATTTGTGTGATGACAAAATTTTGAGGCCATTTGATCCAAATGTTCATTATATCAACTTTTTCCTCTGTCAACATCTTGCAAGTTGGTTCCTTCCTAACCATATGCTATTGTCCACATTATCAGCAAGTAATTATTTACAAATACCGAATTGAATCTTGTCTAAGAAGTCGATTCTTTTTTTTAGGCCAAATCTAAGAAGTTGAATTTGATGATGTGACAATCACTGCATAATTTTTTTTAAAAAAAATATAGATTAATTTTTTATGGTGATATTTATGGGGAAGCTTAAGTTTTCCTTTTTTAGGGAAAAAATGAGGTAATGTATTACTTCACTAATATGGATGATATTAATTTAGGGCCCATCTAGATCTGCGGCTTGTCCCTTTTGATAATTCATTAATCTTTATAATTTGGGTTATTCACGGAAAAGTAGCCCCAATCATGTCTTGTCCTTCCAATAATGTAATTTATTAAATTATTAGCGGTAGGATCTGAGCCAAAAATAATTAAACAAAATATATTCATGTTTTAATACTTACACATACATATATTGCTTGGAAATATATTTTACTAGTACATGTTTTTATTAGGAACAATCACTTGATAACTCGTCCGTTTAAAACTGATACTTAGACTGTTGCATTCAAATTTTGGTCAATTTAGTCTTACTTTGAAAATTTTTTAATTTATCAATATTCTACTTTCATAATTTTGCATCAAAAATCAAATGATGATTACTTCTAAGTTATAATCTATTTATAATCAACACGATAAAATGTCAATAAATATAAGAGTTAGACTAATTAAAATTTTAATTTGGTCCTAATTAAGTATAAAAATATTAATTCATTTTGTCAATTAAATTTATAATTTTTGTCTCAAACTAATCCTATCTTGCATGCAGGGGATTTTCATTAACGGGTTACAATGTGCATGATTACAAGAGATATTTTTAAAAAATCAACACATATTTAGTGCAGTTAACTAACTTTATTAATATTCATAAAACAGTTATTTAGCTCTTATATTAAGTTAATAATTAGAAGAAGTACCACATTCTCCACACAAAAAAATTAGCTAAGAAGTTGTGAATCTTACCACCTACATAAACTCACATGTTTCAAAGATTTTGTTTTTTTCAAAATTACTGCTTAGCTCTAAGAAAAAAAATTTACTACTAAAAATCTCATAATAAGTAAATGACAAGTTTTCATGCAGGCATGCTGTTCACTTGTAATTGAAATTTTTTAATAATTATATTTTTTTTTTAGGACCTCACAATGATTTCACTTGTTTTTAAGGTAGGAAGAAAACTAAAAAGAAACTACTCCTCTGGTCCTTGATGTAGGACATAATTGAGGAGTTGATGTGGGTCCTATATGTAATACATATTTCATATGTTTATTAATTTTTTCCTAAATTAACACTATCAATATTTCTCAACAATGATCAAGTCAGAGAGGGAGGAAAAATTAAGAAGGATGCTTAGGATGTTTTTAAGAAAAATCATATTAACTAATTTAATTAATATTTTTAATCAACTCAACTTAGTTAATTCGATAATCAGAGGAGTATTAATTAATGACTATTCTTAATTGATTTTGAATCTCGGACTCTGCTCAGTGTGATTGTTAGGATTTTTTTTTTAACCCAATCAAAAATAAATGCAAAGATATACTATACGGTTTAGTGAGGCCAAGATATGTCTTCATTAAAACTCGTTTAGTTACATTAAAAATTATTAAAATCATGATTTTGATAATTTTTAATATGGAACCAAACACGTAATAAATGAACTTAGGCCGATTAGATCCCATCCTATCATTATACACTACTTCAGAGCAAC